TTTTACTTTTTTCTAATTATTTTATTTGTTTTTATTTTGTTTTCTTTTATTTTTTTTTTCCTCTTCTTCTTCATCTCCATCTTTTATTCTCCTTGTATTGAGGTTTCACTATCAGGTCAAGGCGTTCTGGCGATTAGTTTATTAGGCTTCCATTGACACTGAAGTCATAGACGGACTTTTGGGGGCTTTTTACGCACACGTATTTTGGATGTTGTGTCCCTTTCGAGGATACCCATGCCCGGAGTTTTCTTAATTTGCGTTTGATTGGCGACCATTGCTGTGTGCCGAAGGAGTACAATTCAGCGTCAACTTCGAGGACGTTTACTGCTCTTACCTCCGGAGTCTGCAGTAACACAGCAAAAGGTTTATGAGGTGACCCTTTTAGGCCTTTATCTGAAATTTGCGCGGACAATTTTCTTCTGAACGCACCTTGTCACGTGGAAGCAGGAAAAAATTGTGCAAAGAGAATAAGTAAAGCAATAATTAATCTTATTTATCGAGTTTTTTTTTTTTGGGAGGGGGGCGGGCTGCAGCACGGTCCTTTCTTGACGCCGCTCTCTGGACTGATGCAGCCATGACGGGATATAACTGCGCACATGTAATCCCTTCGCAAGGTCCATGGTGTGTTTTGTGGAATGGAATTATGGGAAAAGACGTATCAAGATTTGCGTTTCCACAGGTTATATATTAATTATTTACTTGGAATTCATAAAAGTCTAAGAAAAAAAACGTAATGGTTAGACCGAATTCAATAATCATTTTTCAACTTGATTTACTAGTTTTTTTTAGCATCGTTAACTATTTCGTTATTATTACTTATGCTACTGTCTATTTGTCCTTTTATAGTTTGTCGTACATACAGGGTTTCTAAATTGGAATTGAAGAGTTGCCAAGACATTCATTTTGACAAGTTGTTTACCTCTCCTTGATTGCAGTATACTTTCTATTTACCTAAGCCTTTTTGCCGTAATGTATTTTTTTTCTTGTCGGTTTCTGAATGGGAGCTACCGCAAACGCATGCGGGTCTTACGCATTAAAGTAAGCATAAGGAGTGTTTATGATGAGCTGATCGATGCATTGATACCTTGTATTGTGGCAGTGTTCCATATTTTGTATTGATGGTGACTATTTTTAAATGATGTAGCAACAAAAACAAGAAAAAAAAGCTCTTCTTTTTTAGTATACGGGCGCAAAATAGCATTGAAATACAACTCTTGTGGGATGCTTCATGAAAAGAAAAAAATCATGGAACTCCTTTATTTATATATTTATATATATAAATATACATTGCCTGATGAAGTGTTTGCTATTGTGTGTTCTTGGGGAAAAATATATGTATAAAGTCACCTTGTTTCTTTTTATGGTTTGATTGTCTCTTATAATGCCCCATTTGCCCGCTGCCATTTTTCTGCGATCGGAGGGCAAATGTGGTCTTTGGATGCGATTTAAGCACAAAGTCGTTTTTCTTTCTTCATTATTACTGCTGTGTTTTGCTTGCTCGGATGAAAGCGAGCATCTTTTGATTAAGTTTTCTCTTAAAAGTTTCAATTATGCCAGTACTGTATGCAATTTTATCTTAAGTCTTTTTACATCTCTTGACTCACAAGTTGTTTTCGCCTTTTTTTTGGCTGGTTTTTCCCTTTTATACCTGCTCTTTTTGACTTGATCTGCTGTTTCATCGACTTGTCTGCATTCCAGCAAGTATTCAGCTATTTGGAGAGTTGTGCTAAAAGAGCTGTGGGCTAATAACGAGAATAATAGTGGGATATAAGTACCTTTTTTTTTTCTTCTCTATGTGCGTTGTCCTTTTGTTTTTTTTTTAGTATATATATATATATGGCTCTTCCTGTGCCTATTTAACTATTCTTCTTTCTCCTTCTGCGTTCATCCTCCTGGAAGGTAGGTAAACGAATAAGCAACCAGCAATAGGTTGGATCCCATTCCTTGATTGAGGGAAGTAAAACCATCTTGAAGAAAAAACAACACCGGAATTAACGATAACAGATGGGCGCTGGTGATCCACGCGACATATTCCTTGGTGGGTTTCTCCAATGCTGTGAGGCATTCACCCTCGGCATGCCGTTTGAGGTTTGGAAGACCCAGCAGATTTCTGGACTCTCTAAGGGTCATTGGAGTAGTTCCTGGACCGAGTTAAAAGCTATCTACGCGGCTGGCTGGCGGCGGTTTTATTATGGTACAGGGGCGAAACTGGTTGAGTCCGGTTTGAAGGGCTCCATCCTGCTTTTTGGTACCAATTTAACACTGGACATTGAGCCGAAGCTTGGTATTGATCCTCACAGTGCAATTGGTGGTATGCTGGCGGGCTTTTTTGGGGGTATTGCACAAACAGTCGTGATGTCTCCCATGTCCTATGTTGTGACGTACAAAAACCGCAACCCTGAATGCCATTCAATGAGCTTATTTGCTGTCTTGAAGAGGTGCGGTTTTCGCAGTGCCTATGGATCCGCGCCTGCCATGGCAGGAAGACAAGGAACAAACTGGGCCTTGCGGTGGCTTTTCGCAGTTGCTTTTACAAAAAAATACAAGAAATTCGTGGGACGGGAAAAATTAACTGTTCCTGAAGAAATTTTCTGTGGGATGATGGGAGGTGCATTGGGATGCGTCAACCAGCCATTTGAAGTGCTACGGGTTTTGCAGCAAGCTCGTCAGGCCACAGGAGACAAGGGCGCGAATACACGAAACTGCGCCGCATATGTGTACAAGACTTATGGCCTGAAAGGCTTCTATGCGGGCTTGATACCAAGGATGGGACTTTCCGCATGGCAGACGTTGTTTATGGTGACGTTTGCAGGAATGATTAAAGAGCGTATGAACGCCTTAACTTATAAGGCTGATAAAATTACGGTTTAAAGACCCTTCTTTATTATTATTATTTTTCCGTCGTTGTTGTTTTTTCTTCTGTTTTCTGGTGCTTCAAAAGTGATTAAAAAAAATACAATGAGGAAGCTAATTCGTTACAGCGCCTACGGGCTTTGGGCGTTATTTAGCTATTCGACGATGAAAGGGGGAGAAAAAAAATATTGTTTAAAATTATAAGAGTCAACTTTCGGTTTCTCACGGACTACCTGATAATATATTTTTATTTTTGAAGACTTTTTTTAAGTTATTTACCAAGAAGAAACAAAAATGCCTCTGTGGGTATGAAGGACGTTGCCTGGAACATGAACGGGAGCAAGGTAGATCAATGAGGATGGCCCGGTATGTTATTTTGGCTTTGGAAATCATGCTCTTTTTTTAACTGTTGACAAACTATATATATATAGTTGTATTTACCTTTTTTTTTCTCTTGCGTGGCCTGTTGCCCAAACGGTAGACGGATGCACATCTCTCTCCCTGTCACTCTCGCCGAGCAAGAGAAAAGGAAACGTATGTATGATAGAATGAAGGTAAAGGGGATTCAGCCAAACGAGCTGAGTCCGCTAACTGCCTTCGCTGGGTCAGATATTAGATTAGAGGAGGCAGTCCGCGCTTCTGCTACTTTTCTGCTTTGGGAACGGCTATACGGTGTGACAACGGCGTCTTCAACAGCGGACAAGGTAAGTCTGTATTGCCTGCAGCAGCGAGAACGTGGTCCAGCAGTGGAGAGCTCAACTGGAGCGGCTCGGAAAAATGGTTTACTGCTTCAACGTCCGCACGATGGCAAGGTGAGGGAGTTGTGTATAAATGACGCATCGAGTTTGGAGGGTGGGCAAGAGGCAGTCTCCGGCCTCCCTCGCGATGTGCCGGGGCGCGCCTTGGCAAATACATTCCCGCGGGGGAACACCAGGGGCTTCAGCGAGGGAAACCGCATCGCGGTCCCGGCTGATTGCCACAGCGAAGCAAAACACGCCGTGGAGCGGCGAGAGTGTCGGCCTTTTCTGAGCGGGAGCAAGAGCGATAAAACTTCTCCTTCTACGGGTGAAGCTGCGGATCGGCTGTTGTTCTCCTTTTCATCACCGCCGCCGCCTCTGCCCTCATCCTCACCGTTGTCCGTGCCGGCAGCTGAACGGGGTTTGCCATCGTCAGGTGGCGGGCTATTTTCATCACACACCCCATACCGAGCAGTTGCGGAGGAAACGACTCTGCAATTTCAGGAAGTCAATGCCGGGGAGGACAACGTCGCGGAAAGAACTCTAGAGCCAAGTCGTGCCTCTGGAGGTTGCTGGCCCTCATGGAGTCCCACAAGTGAGGTGTTGAAATTGGGCGACGACGATAGTGCTACGGAGAAAACCAGAGGGAGTGGCCCTTCTGAGCCACACGCTGGTGGCGGTCGACGCAGCAGTGGTAAGGCGGATCAGCCACAACCGGGCCCGACGCGCGTGACGAGCAATCCAGCTCCCCAGTGGCCGCGATGGGAGGCCGCAATGGAGCCCAGGCGTGTCACGAACGAAGAAGAGCTACTGGATAAGGCTGTGCCGTGTGGGAGCTACGGAAATGGGGAGGCTGTCACGTTTCCAGAAGACCTCTCTGTTGACTCTGCTGAAGAGGAGCGGGCGGGGCATGCCTCCGATGGTGCACCTTCCAGTCGGAGTGGGAGAGGTGTGTCGCCCTCCGCTCTGCTCCAACCCACGCGCGGGACGGTCGGCAGCGAAGCACCACTGGGAAGGAGCTCAGACGAGACAAAACTCGACATTACAGCTGCGACGCAGTTGAGCGCGGGAGAGCGAAAGGAGAGGAAAACGCGACAGTATCGTCCCCCAGCCTTTTACTCTGCTCGGGCACTTGACACTGCTGCGACGGCTGCGATGGGCGGAGGTGAGGTGGCTTCTCACGCGTGGGGGAGTAGCGGCGCTCCTGTTCCGGCAATAAAATCCTCGCCGGAGGGTCCCGTGGTCTCCCCTGCGGTGACGGTCGTTCAGTGTGTACGTGACGACACCACGCCGCCGCCACAGGACTGGGCTTCTTCCCCCCTTGCAGAAACCACCCCCCTTGACTCCTTTGCCTCCTCTTTTTCAGAGGATCTCCAGGGGGCGGAGGGTGACGGGCGACGTTCCCAAGAGCCGCGTACGCCTACCGGCATTCAGGGCGATGCTCATGCCATGCCCTCCTTGTCGCTGGAGAGAGACGGAAAAAGGGCGGCGGCTCCCCGCACCTCGCCCCAGGAGCCGCGTGGTGGCCCTCTTTATAGTCGGCCTGAGGGGGAGGAGGAGGAGGAGGAAGGGGAAGAGGAAGAAGAAGGAGAAGCGCGGAATATTCCTGTTAGCGAGCAAACCGAGGAACTCCTTTTCGTGTCGCCTTCACCATCTTTTAAAGACTATGAATGGGCTGCAAAGGCACAAGAGGCGCTGGAGCAGCAACAGCGACGCTTTTGCGCTCGCACCCCGTCCACCAACCCTCCTTCTCCCCCGCCCCCGTTGCAGGTCGGCGGGTTCGAGCTGCCCCAGCTGCCTCGAGGCCGCTATCCCGCCGTCGCCGTCACATGTAATGCGGAGCGAGAGGTTGCAAGTAGCGAGAGCCCACAGTCCGTCCCGGAGCGGCACCAGCGTCCTCCTGCGATCCCCGAGGGTGCGGCATCACAGCCGGCGGGCAATCCCGCCAAAAAGCTCCCCAGCAAACCCGCCTCAAAAACTACCCTGCGACCTCGGAGGGGGGCGACGGGTCACGGGCAGCCGTCGACGTCGCCGAAGCCCACCGCGGACACGCGGAAGCGACCTTGGCAGGCCATGGCGTCTCCTCCTCCGACGGAGGCGTTCCCGCTTCCTCGAACGGTGCCGACAAGTGAGCCTGCAGTACGAAAAAAGGAGTTCACTACAAAGCGAACAAGAAGGTGATGTCCCTTCTTTCTTCTTTTCCCACGTTTGTCTCTCTGTCTATCTCTTTTTTGTTTGTTTGTTTACGTCGTTTCCCTCCCACGCCGCATCTCCATCTGCACACATTTCTTTCTTGAGGGGAGGATTATCTGAAGTTCTCTTTGCCGCTGACGGTTTTTCTTCCTTGTTTTTTCCCCATAACTCGCCTCTGCGTCAAGGAAGCCAACGAAAGGGAGGCGCGAGGGGCGTTTGCTCACTGGGAGGACGTCGCGTGGGTGTCCATAGAAAGCAGACGTGTGTGCCAGTGTGTGGGTCGAATGTGAAGTGATGCCCGATTTGCCACCGTTGTCAGAGGAAGAAAAGAAGGCCCGGGAACGGCGTCTGCAGGCGGCGCATGATCGGTATGTGAAGAGCATAGCGACAATGCGCTCGCTACCGCGTCTGCAGTCGACAATTGCCGGGGCCGGCGGAAAGACGAACGAGCATGCTCGTCTTGCGGAGGAGCGGGAGATGGAGCGGCGTCAGCGTCACCAGGCGGAGGCCGACCGCCTGCTAGAGCGCAAGGAGCGGGAAAAGGCGCACCAGGCCAAGGTGGAGGCGCTTGACGCAAGGCAGCAGAGAAAGCGGGCCAGGGCAGCCAAGAAGAAGGCCAAGAAGGCACGGGTGCGTTTGGAGAACGGAGAAAGGGTAAGCTCCGCACCTTCCGACGACGAGGAGGAGGAGGAGGCGAGTGGCAGGGAGGGTGCCGTGGAGGTTGAGGAGGGGAAGAGCTGAGAGACTTTGGGAGTCGCCGTGGGCGTTCGCGCGGTTGAAGCTGCTGAAGTGCTAAAAGGGGTGACCGCGGTGGCGTCCCCACATGATGTGGTTCTCTTGCGTTCAGCACGGCGGTAACCGCGGTGAGATTCTTTTTTCCCTCCTCTGCGGTGTAATATTTACGAATATGGCTGCACAAACGTGCGTCAGGCGGGCACGGGGGCGTCGCTCGTTGAATAGTGCGCCTCCCCACTTATCCTGATCGTGTGTGGTGCGAAGATGGGGCGGAGTAGTTTCCATGACTCTGTGGTGCCATTCATCAAGGCACTGTATTTGCGTACAGAGGGAGCAAGGCGATTTTTAAAAGATATATATATGTATATGAGAGCCTGTGCCCCCCCTTCTTCCATCCTTCCTTTGCGCTTTTCTTGTTTTCACTCTACGCTTGCGCCCGTGGTGGGGGGGGGGGTTGCGCTTCCGTCGCGTTCTCGGCATGTGGGAGAGAGTGAGAGTGAGAGAGATCAGAAGACAGCGCTTGACAGAATAAGGAATAAAGAATAAAAAGGGGAAGGGTGAGAAGTCAGAATTGGAAAGCTCATGGCGTCTGAGACAGCTACGGCGCTCGTGGCCGGGGGAAGCAAAAAAAAACAGCGGCCGCCAGCACCACCACCGCTGCTTGTCCCACTCTGGCGCCTCATCACGGTGGAGGCGACGATATACGCGGTGTGCCACGTCTTTTGCCTCGGGCTCGTGCTCTTTGCCGTCAGTGACGCGTCCCTCTCGGACCTGACACGGGGGCTGCTTCGGCAGCTTCGCGGCCCCCCGCAGGAAGTTCCCCCGCCGGAGCGAAGCCCCTTTGAGGTGCTGCGGGACTACAGGGAGGCGGCGGCTGCGGGGACGGCGGCGCCGTCGCACGAGGTCAGCTCGGACCTTCTAATCACCATGCTTCTGCCTTTTTCACTCCATGCCTTTTTCCTGGCCCTCATGCGCCGCCTGCAGGACGTTGTGGAGGATGAAACGAAGAGGCGGGAGGGGGCGGCGGGCACGGCGCCGTCGCAGGCAGAGGCAGCAGCAGCAGGTCGTACCAGCGGCGACGCGGGCGCGGCCGCGCCGCGGCCGTGGTGGATGGTGAACTGTGACACCGTCGTGAAGAACACCTTTATTGGTCTCACCAGCGTCCTCTGCATCCTCGTTCCAGTCAGTGTCTTGTCGCAGAAGGCCAGCGAGGTGCGTGGCTTGGGACCGGCCGCGTCATTAATGTCGATTGCGGTGGGTCTCTGCGCGCTGGAGGGCCACGGCGGGGTGCGCAGCCTGCAGAAACTTTTTAACGGCCTTCAGGCAATTAATGTCGTTGTGCTCGTCGTTCTTGTCGCGGTGGCAAACCTGTGCCCGAAGGAGTAGGCTGCGCCGCCGGGGTTGTAACGACCATGGAACATGGATAGATTTTTATTGTGCCACGTGCAACGACCATTCTGCAAGGCCTCTTCCCTCGCGACGCGAAGAAGCGTGGACGTGCGGAGGGGGGTGGGGTGGGGACAACGTGTGATTTCTTTTTGTTGTTGCTGCTGCTGCTGCTGTTGTTGTTGTTGCCGGCAACCTTTTCTCGCTTTATAACTTCATATTTTTTTTGCCTCACCTGCACTTGTGCCGCGGGGCTCAGCGCAGCAGCACTACGAAAACAAAAGCATTACATCATGCCCGGCCCCGGACTACTCCCTGACGGCTGGTTCCGCGAGGAAAACGACCAGTGGCCCGGGCAGGCCATGTCCTTCAAGGTGGAGAAGGTCCTGTACGACGCCCCGACGAAGTTCCAGCACCTGACGGTCTTCGAGAGCGACCCGAAAGGCCCGTGGGGCACCATCATGACGCTCGACGGCTGCGTGCAGGTGACGGACCGCGACGAGTTTGTCTACCACGAGGTGCTGGCCCATACCTCCCTCTGCTCCCATCCAAACCCGCAGCGGGTGCTCATCGTCGGCGGCGGCGACGGCGGCGTGATGCGGGAGGTGCTGCGCCACGGCACGGTGCAGCAGTGCGAGCTCGTCGACATTGACGGGGAGGTCATGGAGCAGAGCAAGCGACACTTTCCGCAGATCGCCTGCTCGCTGACGGATCCGCGGGCGAAGGTCCTCGTCGGCGACGGCCTGGCGTTTGTCAAGGAGGCCGCGAACAATACTTATGACGTGGTTATTGTTGACACCACCGACCCTGCCGGGCCCGCGTCCGAGCTCTTCGGCGAGGAGTTCTACAGACACGTGCTGCGTATCCTGAAGCCGGATGGTCTGTGCTGCAACCAGGGGGAATGCATCTGGCTGGACCTCCCGCTGATCGAGCGGATGTCCCGCTTCATCCGAAGGGTCGGGTTCGCGTCGGTGAAGTATGCCATAATGCACATTCCCACGTATCCCTGTGGCTCCATTGGAACCCTTGTCTGCACGAAGAAGGTTGGCGCCGATGTGACAAAGCCGCTGCGCCCCGTTGAGGAGATGCCGTTCGCGAAGGAGCTAAAGTACTACTACTCTGAAATGCACAAGGCCTCCTTCGTGCTGCCTCGCTTTGCACAGCACGTTAACAACATGGAATAATTCGCACGCCGCCTTGGATAACGTGCACGCCACCCACCGAGTCGTCCTCACTGCAAGTGTGTCTATGGGCGGAGAGGGGGAAGCAAAAAGAGAAAGTGAAAGAGAGAAAAGGAAAAAGAGAGGCATGCGAACGGAATATGGAGGGAGGGAAGGGGGCGGGAAGCCTAGTGGTTGATTCCAGTGTTGTTTCTTTGTTTTTTTTGTTTTTCTTCGTTAATTACATGACTTTGTTTTTCCAATCATTCAACACCGGTAGGCAGCACGCGCCGCTCTATCCGCTGCCCTCCACGCGGAGTTTTTACCTGACAGCTTTTGGTCTCTAACGGCCGCCACCGCGAGAGTTCATAACGGGCCTGGCAGCCATTACACGTGGCCTTTGAATTCAGTTGTTTACTTGGGTGTGCGTGTGTCATAATCTTTCGCTCAGCTGTTTGGGCGCTGGCTGCGTACACTGAGGCAAGCCATGATTGCCCATACTCGT